GTGTGTGTGTGTGGGTGGGTGGGTGCGTGCGTGCGTGTGTTGTGTGTGTGTTGAGGGTGTGTGGGTGCGGAATGTATATGTGTATATATGCATACATGTTGAAGTGTGTGTGTACGTACATGTATATACGTATATCTTGCTTACCCACGTCATCGGGAGTATCCCTCTCATCAGGACCCATGGATGGCTCGTTGTTATTAGTTGAAGACTCTGTGTGCATCTCGACGTCGTCAAGCACGACATTCCAGGCCACATCTTGAGAACATTCATTGCATACGAGTTATTTTCAACGCCAAATGAGTGGTATATTCGAACGAGTATATGACCAGTTTAGAAGGCCTGGTGTTCACTTTAATTGATAACTATAGGTTGATTCGATAAAAATGAGAATGCTTAGAAACCATAATCAATTTCGAAATCAATTCTAAACCATCGATCTGTTCATCACTTAGACAGTCGCCCGAATTCAGACACCGGCAATTTGAGCATGCGAATAAGCCGTGGAAAGTTCGCATGAATGAGAGCCTAAACACATCTACTGTCTCACACACCTTCTGCATCACCCATGAAATCCATATCACATCCATCCAGCATCTCATACATACGGCTGACGCCCCCATTGGGGTGTGTGTGCGTCTCAATACTATGTCTTCTCTGTAGCCCAATTCGGTCTGCGTCTAAAGCAGTCATAGTTGCCACCTACATTGACAAAAAAGATTGCTTTGCGTAAGTTTTAGAGGTATATATATACATGCACCGGCTAGCTAATGTTACCAAAAGGCGCTCAAAGCTTCCATCTATAAATATACACGAGTATGTGAATAAGCTTGTAGGTGAGTTTTATCTGTTTAAGTTCTACTCACACGATGGTATATCTATATTTGTAGGTGAGTTACACACATTGATATGTTCTTGAAAAAAATATCTATATGAACAGATGAGCAAATAAACTCTTCAGGAAGTGCACAGTGTCACACCACTACGATGGCCCTACTCACAGGCACAAAAGCTGCTAAGACTGATCGGTCGGTTGATAACAAGAAGTACTCCATCGGGGGTTAAAAGGATCACAACGAGTCACACAAGCACACACACATGTATATATGTACATACATACAGGCACACACATACCAGTTATACTGATGGTACACATGTTTATATAAGCAAGTATACGCTTCTGGATATATACGTATGCGTGGCTCAATGTTGGTCATATTTCTTGCAGTACACATGACAATATATTCCTGCATGCTCCTCTGCATATATTTATACATACACATACACATTCACATACACATACACACACATGCTTGTACACGTACACGCACACATACACATATACAACTACATACACCAATACATACACATACACACACTAATATACATACACACACACACACAAACACACCTCACTGTTGGTCCTACTCACATGTACGCAGCTGCTACGGCGGCGTGGTAGGCAGGTTTCTCTATCATCTCCAAAGGACATGAGCGAATACGTCTGGCCCAGCCCACGACCTGTCTTCGTATCTTCACTCAAATACGTGGCCAAGCTCTGATGTCCTTGCGAGCTCGTACCCATAGTCTCGTGCCGATTGGCCCTACACCGTATCTCCTCGATAGAGTCCTCATCCGTAGGGCCTATATTCACTGCCTGACCCTCGGCTGTAGCTGGCGTCTCGGATGCGCCCACACCACTCAGACCTACCGTGTTCTGTATACTGGCATCTTTATTCCCAACAGGCGGGTTAAATAAGCCTGCCTTGGCGTGGCTGGGGTTCCCATTCACACCCGCACCTCCGTCATCTCGTCCAGCTAAACCGGACCGGCCGCCACTAATTGACCTGGCCAACCCAGACGACACAACACCAGCACTCCTCACCACGCTCGACCGTCCTTCACTACTAGTCCTGACGAACCCAGTCGACACCCCAGGAGCACTACCCACCCAGGACGCCCGCGTTCCCGTACTAGTCCCCGCTACACTAGACCGTGCTGCAGTACCTTTTCCCGCCAAGCCCGACGGCAAGCTTGTAGCACACCCCACCCGGGTAGAGTGTACGTCGGGTGTGCTGGACCCCCTCGCACTCGCACTCCCCCGGCGTTGGCTGTGGTGACTAATGTTCTCTGGCCCACGCAGCGAGTGGGTGGTGTCTGTAGTGTCGGTAGTAGTGGAAAAGGGCAGTGGTATATCCGCACTCCGGCACCTCATGATGGCCAGAGACGTACTAGACACAACCCCGCCCACACCCAAGCTACTCCGAGCTGGCATTGGCACGCACACGCTCGCGCGCCGGTCCTTGTTTATAGTCCTGTTTCTCCCATCGGGCACCAGGGAGAGGCCGAGTAGGGCGCTCGATAAAAGTCCACCAGTGCCCATTTTGCTGCTACCGCCGCTATCTACTGCACTGAGAGAATTCTTACTCGCGTGTGGAGATGTGTTGGCATGCCGGCCTCTGTTCTGAGAGGTTGTTCTATTTTTAGCCAGCTCCGGGCTATTTTTGGAACCGCACGGAGCGACTCTGAGATCTTGAGACCCAGTAGGAGTGCGAGATCGGCCCCTCGTGCTCTCACTTCTACCTGTGCTCAACCCGTGCAAGCTCGTCGACAAACTCTCCGCTCTCCCACGGGGAGATTCCCGATTCTGAGATTCCCGATGTTTGTGTTTTTGGCAACTGTCCGGATTTGGGTTGAGTAAACTTCGCAATTCGGGTTCACTGCCACTTGCACCCGCGGGCTTTGGGTTGTTCGCGCCACAAGACTCTGATAAACCGGTGGCAAGGTGTTGTTGTGATAGTAGAGATGGAATGGATTTTCCTAGTGTCGAGCTTTCACGTTCCTTTGGCGTGGGTACAGCGTATTGGTAGTGTAGGTCGAAAGACCCCCCCGGAGAGCCTGAGTGGACCAGAACATACAGACACAGTTAAGACCAGATGCAGGGAGTGTAGGACTTTGGTGAGCCGATAGAATACATGATAGATCAGATGTTGTTATGTCACATACGCTCACTCACATGCGCCCGCGTTCATATCTGCCACCACACGTACCATTCAGCACAACGCTCACACACATAGACCTGTTGGGGACCGTACACGGGGCGACGCTGAATGGCCGAACAGCCATACCTAACAGACTGGCCTATCAGAAACACTACATGCATGAGATGCGCTACACAGTATCAATACCCACCACACCACACACCACACACCACCGCACCACACACCACACACCACCACACCACACACCACATACCACACTCTATGACACATATTCGATATCCAAGACATACACTACACCTCTGGACATACAATCTCTCGCATAGACATTCATTCACATCTGCGACCAAACGCGCATACACATACCTGTTGGGGGTCGCAAACGTACAGGTGGCCGTGAGGAATAGTATCCTTCCTTGCTCGGAGACGGAGAGATGAATGCAGAATCGTAGCTATTAATATAACTGGATCTATTTTTAGAACACGGGATTGCCTGCGGTCGGCTCGCTGTCTTACTGCTCACGAATCCGCCTAAACGTGTACCGAATTGAAAGTTTTCAGGGCGATGTTTTTTTTTAGGTAAGTGCTTCAAGCGGACAACGATTGTCAGAGTCCCAAATCCCAAATCCCAAAACCAAATGCAGAAATCCAGATTGCATATTATCTAACATGTGCAAATAAGGCAAGCATTCGTGTATGTGCATAGGTCTTCCTTGTCGCTGGGATAGCTGACTTGGACCGTGATACCACCACGCACCCCCTGTTTGTCTGACGATTGTATAAAATCCGACAGATCCGACATCTGACGACATACATATATGCAGATATATGTGATGTACTTGTACAATTACAATTATACACAGAACACACCACTGCAATAGATTCCCGACCGTGTCGTTTGAACAGCTGACTTAGACCGCGACACAGCCGCGTGTGTCTCATTCTCGTACGACGATTCCGACAAATCCGACAAATCCAACCCATCCTCAGACAACGTATGCACACCGAAGCGCGTGGAGCCGGGTGTGGCTGTGCCACCAGTGTGTGCGTCTTGGTGCACTCGCGCATGAGCTTGTGCGTATGCGAGAGGAGGGCGACTAGTGTATGTGCCTGTGCTTGTTCGGGTACGTGGGTGTGGTATCTGCGTGTGTGTGTGTGTGTGTGTGTGTGTGTGTGTGTGTGCGTGTGTGCGAGTGTGTGTGTGTGCGTGTGTGCGAGTACAGGGATGTAGCGGTTGCGTGGCCTGAGTGGGAAGCGCGCAATTGAGAGTGTGTGTATTGCGTTGCGGATCGTCCCAGCCAATCACGGGGGTGCTGCTTTTCTGGGCCGGGCGCCGGCTCGTCTCCAAGTGCTGTTCTTGTCCTGATTTTCAGAATTGTGATAAAAATTAAGATAAAATCGGGATTAGGATTAGGATTTAATATGTACACGCTGATATTGTACAAGACTTCGAGCAAATAGAGCTAATTAAACTAATTTGTAGATAAATTATATCGCAAATTCGAGACTAAATGCGAAAATATGAATTTTACAGATGGTGATATTAGGTCTGAAATAGTATGTACTCGTGTGATATAGAGGTTCATCCACTACAACAGTATTCTTGTCCTTAATTCGACCCAATAGCTAATACCGTGCAAATCAATAAACCTGCATATCAATATACG